TACTCTCTCTCTCTCTCTCTCTCTCTCTCTCTCTTTTTTTTTTGTACCAGTATTGAGCTTAGGAGTGCTTAACCACTGAACCACACCCCCAGCCCAAAATTATATTTTGTTTTGAGACAGGATCTTGCCAAATTGCTTAGGACCTCGCTAAATTGCTAAGGCTGGCTTTGAACTCAGGATCCTCCTGCCTCAGTCTCCCAAGAAGCTGACATTATAGGCATGTGCCACCATGCCTGGCTGTATTTACTCTAATGTTTGTTCCTTCTAGTTCCTTCTGTTTTAGAACCATCCCTTTTTTTTTTTACCAAGTTTATGATGAAAATTTTCAAGCATAAAAAATAGGATAGTAAAATTCACACTTATGTAGTCATCATTTATAACTTTTTTCCATGTTTCATCTGACATTATGGATTTCATGATATTACATATATAACTAACTTGGTTTATATTTCTTGAAAATTTTTCTACAAAACATTTTCCTGTATAACATGATGCAGTGATCATATTTAACAAAATGAACAATGATTTCTTAATATTGTATAGAGTCTGTTCATATTCATATGTTCTCATTATTTCCAAAAAATGTCTTTAACAATTAATTTGTTCAAAGAAGAATCCAGTCAATAATAATATTTGGGTATTATGTCTTCTTAGTCTAGAACAGTTTCCTCCTCTTTTTAAATGATATTGACATATTGAAAAGACTGTACTAGTTGTCTTGTAGAATGTCCCACCTGCTGGACTATTTTGATTGTTTCCCTGGAGCATCATCAAACTTGATCTTCCATGCTTTATACTTTTTATGGTAATGGTTAGGTCTAAAGATTTTATTACATTCAGACCAAACATTTTTTGGTAAGAAAAATGCACAGGGGATGCTGTATACTTCATGTCCATCACATCCAGAAACATCACATGCCAAGGAATTCATTTTTTCATGATGCTAAATTCGGTCATTTGTTTAGGTGATGACAGATTGGACCCTTCCTCATGCATACTGTAATGGGATCTCTACCCCTTGCAACTATGGAGAAATCTTGGGGCATTGTAGGAGTTTTTTTTTTTTAACCTAATACTTATATTATCTACTGATGATCTCCTGCCTCAGGTTCTTGAAATATTTGTTTATTCTGCAGAACATTGTTTCATCCTAATTTACTTCCTACATTTCACCAGTTGTCTCTTTGGAAAATTTACCTATGAATGCAAGACTTCATTAAATAGTCTCCCTTGACACTGAATCCCACTCTAGCAACTACCCTCTTTCTTCTTCCTTTTGCCCCAAGATCATCTAAATGAGAGTCAACATGCTATCTCTGTTACTTAATCTCTATTTTTTCTTAATTCTATGTATTTCTTATCTCTTTCTGGATAAACTTATCCACTCCTATGACTTCTGCTACAAAACTATGTCTCAGACTTTGAATTCTTTCCATGTACTTTCTGAATAGCACTTCCCAGATGAGCATTCAGACAAGACTCAATAAGACTTCTGTCATCTCCATTCCCTCAAGCCCTTGTCTCTGCCAGCTTGTCCCAGCTTCCTGAAGGGTGTGTCAATATGCTTCTTTTCCATCAAGAAGGGATGTGCTCAATTTTTTTTTTTTTTTTTTTTGATACTGGGGATATAACTCAGGGGCACTCAACTGCTGAGCCACATCCCCAGCCCTGTTTTTGTATTGTTTTAAAATTTAGAGACAGGGTCTCACTGAGTTGCTTAGCACCTTGCTTTTGCTGAGACTGGCTTTGAACTTGTGATCCTCCTGCCTCAGCCTCCAGAGCCACTAGGATCACAGGGGTGTGCCACTGCACCCAGTCCATGTGCTCAATTTTGTGTCTATTCTATACAGTGTGCTATGGAAGCCTATGGAGTATTCATTGCCTAAACTTTTGCTTTATCTTCCTCCATTTTAAACTCTGTGAGGGCAGGGTTTCCATCTTTGGCATTTACTCTCTGGCTTTTATCTGTCCTTGAGACGGCACTCAGCAGATACTTACATGTTGGGCTGCTTGTTTTTATTATCACCAATGAGTAGTTGTGGAGGCAAAATATCCTGTGGTGGTGGTGAGAGATATCTTTGCACATCAGTCATCTTCTTTCCTGTACTGAGGAATTTGCTATTTTACCCATTCAGTAGAGTCTCTAAGATAAAATAAATTGTTTCTGCTTATCTCTCCCCTTTCATTTTTGTTTTTGTTTTTTTTTTTTTTAGAGGAAGAGGATGAATCCTTAGTCAAGATAATATAAGTAGCAGCAAAATCTGGCCTGTGATTCAATAAAACATAAAAAAAAAATTACCCAAACAAAAGGTGATGGTGTTTTGGGGTCATGAAAAGTTATGTCATCAACCCCATCTTAACTACTTGATTACATTTTTGAAAGTTAGGAAAGATTTAAATCCAAATGCCTGAGTACTCTTTATATTAGACACTCTTCTTACTCCAAACCCTAACTTTCACTTATCATTTTATCACATAATTTCACTTTCTTCCTTCTGTTTTATGGGCTGCCATTTGCTACTGCCAAGGGCTTTTACACTCTTTGTTTTCCCACTGGTCAATTTGGCACTTACTCCCACTCATTACTACTGCATTTTTGTAGGTTCCTCATTAACTAACTTTAGGATTGGTGTCTGTCCTCTCTTGAAGTATATAAAAGCTCTAAAATCTTGGTTTTTGCTGCTATGTCTTTTGCATTGCCTGATCCATAATCTTTGTTTTGATTTACACTCTCTGCCTAGACCTAAAACTTTTCATGCAGTTTGCATGGGTTATGGTTTAATCTTTTGCACATGGATATCCGTTTGTTGAAGAGATGGTTCCTTCTCTCATATGATTTTGGCACCTTGCTCAAGAATCAGTTGGCTGAAGATACATGGATTTATTTCTGGGTTCTTTATTCTGTTCATTGACAAACATGTCTGTTGTTAAGCCAATCCATGCTGCTTTGGTTACTACAGCTCTGTATGTGATATTTTTGAACTCAGTTATTGTGATGTCTCCAGTTTTGTTCCTTTTGCTCAAGATTGCTTTGACTATTTGGGATGTTTCATGATTCTGTTGAAGTTTAGAAATATTTTTATAGCTTTATGAAGAATGTCATTGTTATGTTTTCATGGGGATTATATTGAATCTGTAGATTGTTTTGTGTTGTCTGGACATTTTAACAATATTAATCTTTTCAATTCACGAACAGGATGTCTTTCCATTTWATGAGTATTGTCCCCAATTGCATTCATCAATGTTTCATAATTTTCGCTGTACAGGTATTTCAAGTCCTTAGTTAGGCTTATTTCTGGTATTTTATTGTTATTATGTGTGACTGTAGTGAATGGGATTTTTTCCTGATTTCTTAGCAAATTCATTATTAGTGTATAGAAAAACTACTGATGTTTTGTATGCTGATTTTGTATCCTGCTACTTTACTGAATTCATATTTCAGTTCTAAGTCTTTTTGTGGAGACTTTAGACTTTTCTGTGTATAGAATTATATTATCTGCAAATATGAATAATTCAATTTCCTTCTTTCCTATTAATATGTCTTTTATTTCTTTCTCTTGCCTAATTGCTCTAGTTAAAACTTTTAGTGAATAAGCAACGAGAGTGGACAACCTTTTCTTGTTTCTGATCTTAGAGGAAATGCTTTCAGTTTTTCCATATTCAATGTGATGTTGGATATGAGTTTGATGTATATAGCTTTTATTATTTTGAGAAATGATCCTATTATACCAAATTTGCTTTTTTTATCATGAAGGGATTTTAATTTTATCAAATGTCTTTCTGCATATGTTGAGATGATCAGATGTCATATGATTTTTATCCTTTTTTTTTTTTTTTTTGGTACCAGGGATTGAACCCAGGGGTGCTTAACCACTAAGCCACGTCCCCAGCCCTTTTTATATTGTTTAGAGACAGCAACTCTTTTTGAGTCGCTTTAGGACCTGTTCAAAATTCAAAGTTGCTGAGGCTGGCTTTGAACCTACAATCCTCCTACCTCAACCTCCCAAGCTGCCAGGATTAACAGGCATGTGCCACCAAGCCCAGCTGATTTTTATCCTTGATTCTATTTATGTGATGGATTATGCATATTGATTTGCATGTTAAACCACCATTGCATCGCTAAAGCCAACTTAATCATGGTGTATGATTTTTTTAAATGATATTGATTTGATATGTAAGTAGTTTGTTGAGGATTTTTCCATCTGTGATCATCAGGGATACTGGTCTATAGTTTTCTCTTTTTGTTGTTGTGTCTTTTTTTGTTTTGGTAGAAGAGTAATGATGATCTTGTAGAATGAGTTTAGAATGCTTCCATCCCTTTCAATTCCCATTCTTCTTACTGTGCCCTCTTCCCATCACTGTTTGGATCCAGAGGAGCATTTCTTGCCTTCCTGAGACTTAAAAAGTTATGTGGATTTGCACTGGTGGTTCATTGTGGCCATACTCTACCTTTTCAGGAAAACTGTTCCTTGAGAAGCATGTATCTGACAATCTTCTTCTCCTCCTTCTCATTACTAAGGCCTAATTATTTTAAAATTATTTTACACTTACGCAAATACTATTGTACAGCAGCAGATCTTTAACCCTTTCTTAAGGTGATGAAATGTTTCCTGAATTGTGTCTTCTGAGGAGACTATGACATTCAAATTTGTTTTCATGAAATTAAAAGTGACTTTTATTTATGGAAATCAGAACAATAAATACTGGATTTCTAAGACTTTGATAATTCTTATCAGTCCTCATATAAGAAAAGAAGATAGATGGAGTCTAATATGAAAATTAGGCCAGAACTCAGTAGAAGAATCAAATGCCCATTTATAATTCAGCTATCGMAGTAACAAAGGTAGAGGGTAGCTTGGACCAAAGTGTTAGAAAGTAACATGCAAAAAGAGCTTGCATTTAAAATATATTTTGAAGGTAGAGAAAATCATTCATGAAACTGCTGATTATGTTTATGCTCTCTTTTCTTTTTCTTTTTTTCCCCCTCTTCTTTTTCTTAGTTTCGGTATTCAGATTGGCTTGATAAGTTGTACATGGTGCTGGGAACTTTGGCTGCTATTGTCCATGGAGCTGCCCTCCCCGCCATGATGCTGGTGTTTGGAGACATGACAGATACCTTTGCAAATTTTGAAAACTTAATCCCAGAAAACTTTACAGGTAAGTATTGTTTATGGCATTGATTTTATTGGAAATCACTTTGAGCAATGTTTGTGGAGCCCTTACTAAATATATTTAATACTGTGGGAGATAGAGGGTCTGAGTTCCAGCTCATGTTTGTAATGAGTTTGAGAAGATAATAGAATACCTAATAGAAATGCCAGCAGAAATATGTAGAAAAGGAGAGGGCTCTCTGAAGTGAGAAATATTCTAGAAAGCTAAAGGAGGAAGTATAGGAAACTAAGGCAGGACTTTGTACACTGGAATCAGTTATGAGAGTCCTTGATAGATTGGCTACGTGACTGAGAGGGGAATCCAAGTGATTCTAATGCTTTTAGCTTGAAAAATCAGAAAGATGCAGTTGCTGTCAACTAAGATGAGAAAGTCGGAGGAAGAATAGGTTTGGGCAGAAAATTCCAGAAATTTAGTTTTGGATATTGTCCAGGATTGGGCTGTCTGGAAGCAGATGCAAGAATGAAGAAAAGGAGCCAAGACAACTAGGGTGTGAGTGTAAATGTGTGTATGTGTGTGTGTATGTGTGTGTGTGTGTGTGTGTGTATTTAGGATGGGAATAATATTAACTTGTTTGTGTGTGAATGGAAATAATCCAAATGAGAGGAGAAGGTGATAAATGATGTTTAAAAGAGAGGGAAGAGATTTGTTAGATAGTCTTGAGAAAGGAGGAAATCCAAAGCAGAGGAGGAAAAATTTACTTTAGATAAAAACCAGCATTTTGTCTACAATAATAGGTGGAAATAGAGAATATTTGGACGTCACTGTCCAAAGGTGGGTAGATAAGGAAGTGAAAATCTGTGGAAATTTTCTTCTGATTTCAGTAGTACCCCTTTGTCTGCCAGGAATTTGGTCTAAGACCCCAATGGATGCCTGAAACCATGGATATCATTGAATCCTATTTTCTCTATATTTTTTGCTGTATATACATACTTATGATAAAGTTTAATATATAAATTAGGCATCATAAGAGATTAACAACATTAACTAGTAATTATCTAATAAAGATTATGTGAGTTTGGTTTCTCAAACTCTTACTATACTGTTTTCACTCTCTCCTTGTGATGATGTGAGATGATACGTGCTGTGGTTGACTGCAGGCAACTGAAATCACAGAAAGTGAAACMATGGACAAGTGGGGACTACTGTACTTCCGTTTTTTGCAGTGAGATAGTAAGCAAAACACTTGTAAAACAGTCCTGTAAGAGAGTGGGAAAGTGAATGACTTGAAAAAATATATGGAAGTAATACACATACTCTTGAGTAAAGAGTATGTATATTGATTGATAATTCTGAGTTTCAATCTTCAGGTCACCTCTTGTTCAGCATAGATTGACTTAAACTAATGTACTCAACAACTTACAACTGAGTTTACCTTCAGGTGGTGAAAATGTTGAAAATGCCTGTTTGAGAGTATACTCAAAAATGTCATGATACCATTTAGCTTCCAACGACCCTTCAACATTGGAACTGTGTGTGTGTGTGTGTGTGTGTGTGTGTGTGTGTGTGTGTGTGTTTGCTGGGCATCAAATCCACGAGTTTGTACATCAACATTTAACTTTTATGTCTGTGATGAATACTATAGATGCTATCCCCCAAAACATGTACTTAAATATTCATACCAGTTTGGGGTATATTTGGAACCTTTCTGATACTTGTCCTGTGATCTTGGAAACTAATTTGTAATTCTGAAAAATCTGAAGAATACATTGTTTTCCCTGAGGTAGAGAATACTTCAATTCTGTGATTGCAGAAAATGACTTGGGCCAGAAAAATGGATAGTATATTTGAGCTCTATAAAATTCGTAWGCATTTATACCTCCTTTTATGGCATTCAAAAGGACCCTCAAAAAGATGATGTACCACCTATGAACTGGCACCTTTCTTCTATACCATTCAGTGAAGGCAAGTTCTTAGTGCTCTCTGCATTCGTTGGTTCCTGTACATGCTGTGTTTGGCAATATTCTGTTGAGTTCTCKGTCTTATTACCTTATAGTGGAATAATAATATCTTTCTGTGTTCTCTGGTAGCTCACCTGACCCAATGTGTGCCTGTATGCCTATTCTGATCCAATCCACTTTTTCATGAACAGTGTTATAACAGTGTATGAGGTGTTATATTTATTATGCTGCTCTCTGTGCACTACATAAAGAAATAGGTGCTGAGGTTATCTGTCAGTAAAGAAATTATAGGTTATTAAAACAATTGTTGAAGTTTAGTCCAGTCTGGGATGAGCAGAACATCAAATAGCTCTTTGAAACTAACAGATCTAAACTTAGACTGACCACAATAAACTAAGCTTTTGTTGTATACATTGACCTCTTTTTAGCTATATTAACATTTGTGTATATCTCTAGCACCCAAACATTAATTTGCTCTTATACTTGTGAGGAAACAAATGATCTCTTTAGGTGTAAGTACCAATCACTACCAGTTTTACTTGGACCATCCAAAGATGTGTGAAGAAAGGCAGTGCTATCTCTGAAATTTGATGCCCTTCTAACTTCATACACTGAAATCTGCTCCATATGTCATACTATTTGGAAGTGGTAGCTTTGAGATGTGTGTCCTAGGTTATGAGGGCTGTGTCCACATAAAAGACACTCAAATAGCTGCCTGGTCCCTTCCCCCATTCAAGGACACAACTAGAATGTGCCGTCTATGAACCAATTCCTCACCAGATGCTAAATTTCCCTTGATTAGCAAGAGGAAAAATGGAAATAACTTACATTTATCATTTCTTCCCTCACTTSTGTAAAACTCATCAGGAGTTTGAGAACTACTTGTGAAATGACAGTTCTCAGAATAGTATGGATTGAAAAACCCTTATCAGAAATATTTTAGGACTTTTTCAGATTTTGGAATATTTGTCTATATATAACAAAATATCTTGAGGATGGGTGCCAACTCTAAACATCTAATTCATTTATTTTTACATATACCTTATACCTGAAGATAACTTTACAAAATATTTTTTTAAATGATTGTGTATAGGAAACAAAATTTTGTGGTATCATTTTCTTCTGGTGGCATYGTATCAATGCTCAAAAAATTTTGGATTTTGGAGCATTTCAGATTTACAGGTTAGGAATATTTAACTTGTATTTATGTTTTGATATTTAAATATGAGTATATAAATTATGTGCAGATTTTGTATGTGTGTTTCAAAACTTCGGTATTGTAAGTAAAGAAAACATTGTTATCTGCGTCCTCAAGGCCAGAATTATGGGTATGTGCCAACTAGAATGTTAGCTAACATTGAAATTCTTAATATTTCATAAAAGGGTCTATGATGGATCTGTTTTCTTTCATCTACTCAAGGCTTTCCTCTGCTTTTAACATTTCACTGGAAAAATTCTTGATAATTTTTTTTGGAAAATTGAGTAACATATAAGGATAAAATATTTCAAAGTATATTGTTTAATTGAGTCAGTTTATTTTTTAACTTTTAGGTTAAAATTTAAAATATGATTAATTTTTCTTGAATAATATGAGATATAGTCAGGTTGTTGTGATTGATTGATTGATTGATTTGGTACTGAGGATTGAGCCACATCCCCAACCTTGTTTTGTATTAAGCAACTCGGGTCTTGCCGAGTTGCTTAATAACTCACTGAGTTGCTTAGTAAATTGCTAAGTTGCTGAGGCTGGCTTTGAACTCTTAATCCTCCTGCCACAGTCTCCTGAGCTGCTGGGATTACAGCTGTGTGCCACTATACCCAGCATTTTGTTTGTTTTTATTATTTTTGAGGTACTGCTTTTTCAAGCCCCCAAAATAGGCTAATTACAATCTAATCTCCACAATACAAGAGTAGCAAAAAATAATAACAATAAAATAAAATGAAATAAAAATAATAGCCACATAGACCCTGAACCATGCTAGGTGCTTAAGAAATGGGATAAATAAATAAAAGACTGAATCATCTTTGTAGGTAAAAAGATCCCAGACATTATCTGGCCTGAACCCATAATTTTATAGATAGAAAAAAAAACATGTCTAAGAAGTAGAAATAATATGTTCAGGACAGGGTTGCTTGCTAGTTTACAGAGCTGAGTTCCTAGGACAGGAATCCTGCATTTTAGTTWGGTCTTTTTTCCCCCTCTCTGATGATATTTTTCAAACTCTGCCTAAAGTAGAAGCAAATTCCAACAATTTTTTCTTGGTCTTTTTTCTCCCACAGTTATCATCCTGTAGCTTTGATTTTTTTTTTTTTTTTTTTTTGGTATGTCAGGAAGGTCAGCCAGGAGGCACAGCTCTAAAGGCCAGAAGTGGAAGCAGCACATGTGAGGAAATCATGGTCCCTTGAATGTGTCACCGGCAGTAAGCAAGCCCACCACACTGAGTGGCTGGCTCCAGCCAGGGCAAATGCCAGAGGGATTGATCATCTAGGCAAAAGGTCCAATTCCTCTTGCTTATCATTGATGGAGCTTTCTGCCCAAGGAGACTTTACTAACTCTTCTTTGACCAGAGCACATCCACCCCACCCCRCCCCATCTGTCATGAAAACTCACCAGGGAGAACATCTCAAAAGGAGGTTGTCCAGGTTAAAACTAAGTGAGGGGAGCCCAGAGCCAAGGTCTGCTGATGGCCAGCCTCTTACCACCCACAACAGTRCTAAGGTCATTCCCAAAAATCTGACTACTTATATCTCCAGATGCAACCTGTATCCAGAGCCATCTCCATGCCTTGCCTATCAGCTCTAACTTCCTAATTCCTCAYTCTACTTCCATTCTTGCCCATCTTAGTCCAGTTCTCCATACATTGTCAGAGTGAGGTTTTTTTTTTTTTAAAGAGCAAAATACTTATTTTATTTAAGTGTTAAGACAAACACAACTTAATGCATTTCTTTTTTATTGTTGTTCTAATGAGTTATATATGATAGCAGAATGCATTTCAATTCATTATACACAAATGGAGCACAACTTTTCATTTCTCTGGCTGCACATGATGTAGAGTCACATCACATGTGCAGTCATATATGTACCTA